ATCACATGTGAAAAGCAGATTCCTTCATTGTCCCTTCTTATCAAGCAGGCTGTATGTCATTGATTGCATATTAAAGTTGATTAGCGACAACCCGTCATTGAAGGTGAGTACCATAATTGCACATATGGTTCAAAGGTACAATTACACTCCTTCTTACCGAAAAGCCTGGATTGCCAGAACTAAAGCGGTTGAAAGGGTGTTTGGGAATTGGGAGGAGTCGTACAAGGAACTTCCAAAATTCTCGGTGGCTCTTAAACACTACTCTCCGGGAACTGTTGCGATATTGGAGACAATGCCTGCGTGTACAGCAGACGGGACTTGCATTGGTGGAAATGGAAATTTTCACAGAGTCTTTTGGGCGTTCGAACCATGCATCAAAGGGTTTGCATATTGTAAGCCTATAATTCAAATTGAAGGAACATGGTTATACGTAAAATATAAGGGCACACTTCTCATGGTTGTGGCACAGGACGGGAACAACAATATTTTTCCAATAGCCTTCGCTATAGTAGAAGGGGAGACTTCTAGGGGTTGGAGTTTTTTCTTAAAAAACCTCCGCTCTTACGTGTCTCCAGAACCTAACTTATGTGTGATCTCTGATCGACACCAATCAATCGAGAGTGCATACAACAACCATGACAATGGTTGGCATGATCCTCCCTCTACCCACGTCTATTGCATAAGGCATATTGCACAAAATTTCATGCGGGAAATCAAAGACAAGACCCTACGGGAGAAGGTTGTGAACGCAGGATATGCACTAACTGAACCCACATTCAAATACTACCGTGACGAGATCAGACTAACAAACGCGGATGTATTAAGATGGATTGATAACATTGATAGGGAGAAATGGACGCGGGCATACGACAATGGGGTGCGATGGGGCCATATGACAACCAACCTCGTCGAATCAATGAATTTTGTTTTCAAGGGAATCTGAAACCTCCCAATAACTGCATTGGTAAAGGCAACCTATTTTAGGCTAGAATCACTCTTTGATAGCAGACGTACAAAGTGGAGTTCGGTATACAATCGGGTCAGCTGTATAGCGATACGTCAATGAAATTCATGAAAGAGGAAGCTGCCAAAGCCAACACACACATGGTCACAATCTTTGACCGTACAACTGGTTGGTTCAGTGTTGTCGAGTCTATGGATCACAACAAAGGAAGGCCTAGGGGATGTTACCGTGTTGAATTGGATAAGAGCTGGTGTGATTGTGGAAAGTTTCAAGCATTTCGTATGTCGTGCTCTCATGTCATAGCAGCATGTTCGATGTTGTGCCAGGACCCAACCAACCTTCCTTCTGCAGTTCACCAAGTCATTAGTCTATGCAATGTCTACACATGCAACTTTCAAGTGGTGGCAAAGGAGGACTATTGACCTCAATACGAAGGCGAAATTGTTTGGCATAATGACTTGATGCGCAGATAGAAAAAGGGTCGGCCTAACAGCACACGCATTCGAACTGAGATGGATACCACAGACAAGCTGGTGAGATTGTGTAGTTCGTGTCGGCAACCAGGACACAATCGAACAAAATGTCCTAACGTAGGATCAAGCAGCAGATCATAGTTTCATATGTAATCTTCGCCCGTTAAATCAATATCAAATTTCATTCGATTAATAGCAACTTTTATTCCATTAACAGAAAATTTCATTCGAATAATACCAAGTTTCAATCAACTAAAAGCATAGTTAACAGACACAATAACGACATGAAAACAGAACACTACACGAAGGCAACATAAATTAAACAAACATAACAACAACGTAAAGATTTAAAACATAACACTGCACCAAGGCGTCTACGATATCACGACCATCAACTTTATCTTCTTTGGTGTCAACATCATCACAAGAACACCAGCATCATTTTCCACTTTTCTCCATTCACGAGTCACTCCGTTTCTCCCGGTCTCCTCGACGAGCCTCTTGATTTTCCTAATCTTTTCTCCTGGAGCAATATCTCCTTCTAGCCAGCGGTTCAGTTCCCTATGCAAATGCTCCAACGTCTGTGTATTCCACAGGAGCACCTTCATCAGAGGCTTTGTTGCTGAAAACACAACTACGGCGTTTCTTTTCATTAAATCGAACGTTGGAAATGGTTCCTCTGATGCTGATGACGACGACGACGAAGAACGTTGATTTAGAAATGTAGACATTCTAGACTTCACTCCACTCAAAATGCACTAACACTTCAGTCTTTTAGTATACAATGTTGTGAAAACATGTATGTGTTTGCAGTCGTATTTATAGACAAATAAAATAGTAGGTGCCCCATATGATATGTCGTAAATACCCTTACAAAATTTATACACTTTAAAATTCAATGGTTAATTAATTTTTATGTTTTAAAATTAATGATTTAAATCAATTTATATGCTTCAAAATTAACTGTTTAATCAATTTTTATTTTGTATTTAAATTAATTATAATTAAGTTTTTATAAAAAATTATAATTTAAAAACACTAATTATTACTTTTTTTTATAAATATTACTTTAAAAAATTACTTAAATTTATTAAACCTTATTTTAATTAATTACTTAAATTTAGTAAAAATATGAATAATTACTTAAGTTTTTTAAAAACTATATTTTAAATAATAAGAATAAAATTAAAATGATAATAATATAAATTAAAACATTAACCAAAAAAAAAACTGGAAAGCAAAACCCTAGAAATCCTAGAACTAAGTCGCCATTTGGTCCGGCGGAATTCTTTTTCACTGAGTCGTCACAACAATTAGCGAATTTGTTTACGGCCAAAATCATCTTGCAACTAAGTCGCCATTTGAAACTTTGGTTTTTTTAGTAAATTTTATTCAATACTTGATTATTTTAAAAAAAATTCGAATAATTGAATGTAATTAAATGATTATTTAATAACTTTACAAATTATAAAGGAGAAAGATAATAAAGAAATTATCGTTTATAAATTACAGAAGAGAAAGATACTATTACAAATCACTAAAATATAATTGTTTTATAAATTACTGAGGAGAAAGATACCATTAAAAATACCATAAGAAAGAACGTTTTTCAGTATTATGAAGTTGCGACATGTAATTAACATAATTAAAATAGTTATGATTTGAATTTTACGTCGCAATTATTTTTTAATAATTAAATATATATTTTGATGATAGAACGTTTTAATATTTATTTTAAAATGTTGAGTCGTGTTAAATATGTCGCAACCGATTTTTCAAATAAATCAAAAAATTGGTAAGTGGGAGACTCAAATTTAAAAAAAGTTAAGTTGTGACATAAAAATGAAAATCACGTCGCAACAAATATTTTTAAAAAATCAAAATAACGTGTAAATATTTTTTGAGTAAATTGATGGCTTGAGTAGGATCACATGACTGTTGTGTCAAGTTAAATTTATCGACGTGGAAATCATGTTGCAAGGTAATGGTTACATATTTTTTGCCGCATGAATTACATATCGCTGAGTTGTGAAGTGATTTTCATGACGCATGCATCCATATATATTTAACAAATTGGGTCTCACACACAGACCACTCCACACCAAGTCTCATTTTCTCATCTCACTCTTCAACTCACATGAACACTCCCTCACTGATCAACTCATTCTAAATTTCTTTCTCCTTTTCAACTCATTCTCGTATTTTCTCATCTCATCTTTACTCATTCAATCTTAATTTATTCATCTTTTATCTCTTCAAATTTAGAAAGATAAATAATTATTCATATTTTTTTTATCTTTATTTAACTTTCTGTTAATTGAATTTTATTTCATTGAGGTATTTTTGCAATAATGTTTTTTTTTCAAAAATTCATA